TTCCACCATGGCCGCAATTGCCCATCTGACGCCCCAACCCCTCACTCTTCCCCTCGCAAATTAGCGGTTTTTCATCCGCCCGAGCGACATCACGTATCATTAATTCGTCCGCGAGCCGGTCATTTGTATCGAAGCCACTCGTCCCCGCTCGAATTTATTCTGACTTGGTGTGCGTCCGGGAGCCTATTGGCTCCCTCACCCCAACAATTCTACACCGCGGAGAAGTGGCCTTCCAAAAATTACTATATTTTCTCCTAATAAGTGGATGGCCAACATTCGCTTTTTAGCCTTTTTGCTATTTTGCCTTCGCCAGTGGCTCATCTTACATCGATTCCGAATGTGGTAGGCGAACATTTAGATGGCTGAATATTTATTCACACTGTGATGGGAGATACAACACGCGTTAAGACCATTGGTCGTTCGTTCGACTGAACGTTCCGAAGTTTTCTCTGGGAATCCCTATAGCTGTACTGGGTCTTGGAATTGTGTCTTTATCGTACGCTGATAATGTTGTCTTATTTATTAGTTCGCAAATCTAATATCTTTTCATTAGAGTATTTCTTAAAAATCTATTAACAATGCATATAAAGAGCAGATATCGCTGAGGATATCTTTACTAAATTAATGAATGGTTCATTCTTATTCATATGGATATGATAGAAGTTTAAGAACGTTATAATTACACTTTAACTTGCGTAAGTAGACGGTGAGAAACAGTGAATTCATTCGTTGGATAGCGCAACTATGAAAATACAATGTAATGTAACATATTGAGAACATATTTAATTATAAGAGTGGCAGGTGCATCGAAAATCATTAAAATGTGCATTTACATTAAAATGTTCTTTAAAACATGACTTGGATCTTTTTACACTAATTACCAAAACTTGTATTTCTACGCAATAATTGGTATATCCGTAACTAATTCGATGATTGCGCAATAATGCAGTATAAATTAATTAGCATTTCGCCAATAATATGTACCACCGCATTCTTTTATAATTTGTATTAAGACTCCATTTCGATAATCGTGCAACAGCGAAAATAACGAGACGTAGAGAATAATTTTTTTTAACACCAGAGAAATATGTCGTTTCGAGACTTATAAAAGTGATTTGAGCCTAATGAAAATATTCCGTTTAATAAAAATAAGTAGCTTAAGTAGTAGCCATGGGAATTCAAGCACACATGAAAATTAATGTATAATAATTTTTTAAATAAAAACAAAAAGAAAAATACAAAAACACTTATTATAATTAGCTTCGATGAATTTTCGATTTTTTTTGCAAATTAACATTTCATGGATTACATTCAAGGTATGAACTGTTTTTCTTAATATGCAAAGAGGTGAATTGCCGTAATTATTCATAATGAAACTGGTATGGGTGTATACAAAATGTTCTAAAGTGTCAATTTTCCCTAAAAGACGGGCCAAGATATTTAGAGATTTAGAGGGGGATGTAAGCAATTTGAACATGTTAATGAGACTCATTACATTGGAAGCACCAACTGGTTATTCAACCCTAGCATTTCAATATCTTTCTGCAATTCTTAAAATTCTGAAACACTAAAAAGCGTATATTTCAGCCCCGCTGGAAGTCGCTGGAAAATCGTGCTCTTATATAGCAACAGTGTATATGGGCGTAAGCGCTCGTCATTATCCGACGGTTACGCGCTACATGTGGCGCATGACGTTTTATTGCTCGGCGTGATGAGTTCGCGCAATGAATAAGAGGCGCCGGGAAAGGAAAGCGTGCTATATCCTAGCGCTTTTTCTCGGCTACGCACAAAACAATTCAATTATCGAATGAAATAAGCTTGAAGTTTTGATTGACGCCACGGCGGCAGCAACGACTATTACTAACAGGAGCAACGCATAAATTTACGTGCACGCATGCGCCAAGGCACATCATCGTCCTGCATTAATTATCATCGTCCATCCAAGATTAATTATGTCCCAGGAGCCTGCATAAAGAAACAAATGTCCTTTCTTAATTTAGTAATTTCATTAGTTTGGCTTCTCTTAACATCTATGTATTTCATGTTTTCTTCATTCCTAGCCGATATTGTCCGCCGCTCCTGATTATCCAGATGCGTCCATCCTTGTTCGAATTAAAATCATATTTGTGAATGCGAGCAAACGTTCATTTATAATAACGCAGTGGTACGTGAGTCGCGGAAAGCCGAGAAATCGATTGCTAGAAAGTCGAGATTTCTATTGAGAGACTACGTATCACTCGTGCAATTGCCGCCGCCAAAAAAATCGCGAAGGGAGTGGCGGGAGGTGATTTTCACCGAGGAATCGGACTCGGGTGTTAGGAATCTGCTGCGGGACTCGGGCGAAAATCCATAGTGATTCGTGCGGCGCGTGCGCCCTTACTTCCTTCCCGTCTTCGCGCCTTCCTTCCTCCTGACTTCTTCCTTCCTTTCGACCAGTGGCGGAATACATAGAGTAATCACAGTAAAGACGCCGAAGGTGACCAAGTGTACGCTTTTACAAAATGGCGGCTCCCGGCAATTTTTCATTCAAGAGGGTGTTCGACCGAGCCCCGACACAAATTCTGCAAAATAGATCACAAGTACTCCAATACGCGTGACGCTTGCTTTGAAATAACTTCAGATATCGAAAACTATCAGGAATATTTTAATTAATTTATTTCATTCATGCTCGAATACCCAATTACTCTGAATGGATAGTAAATAATTGAGTTATTGGAAAGTGCCTTGTTCGTATTGTCAGCCAACAGGAATAAATTGAAATTACACCAATTGAATCTTATTTGACAACGGATTTTTACTACATATGAACAATTTGAAATATCTAATAATACCTTTATAATAATATGTTGAATGTATTAATTTATATTCTCGTGAATTTCAATCTTTCAATTTTTACAAAAAAATTATATACTCTATGAATAAAGGATCGAGAGCATTTTCATATAAAATATTAAATTGCATCGAATTCTCAAGAGAGAGAGAGAGAGAGAGAGAGAGAGAGAGGATGGTTGTTTTTGTGTGCAGTTATACTTTTGCAACACTATTTTTAAGATTTTGTAGGAATTCATCATTACGTATTTAGTTGATTATCTGTTTACATCTCTCTTGACGATATATTGCTGTATATATATGTATGAAGTACGGGATGAAAATTTGTAACTAACGTATTTGCCTTCTTTTTATCATTAAACTTTTAACAAACGACCATTCGTTAACTTTTTAAAAAAATAATACTTGTTAATATTTCTTTTAGAAAGCATCTATTTTGTAAGGAACGCAAGCAAAATTGGGCGAACCATTTCTCAATGGTAATTTGTTACAAATTGTTGTATATTTATTATTTTATATGTGAAAACATATATTTTTTAGATACTTTCATCTTGCAGTATTAATTTTACGTAAATATAAAGCATCCTGTCACCATTCGGTAGAATAATAACTTCTGCAATAACTTCATTAACAATTTAAAAAGTACAAACGTAGATAAAGACACGAAAGTATGTATGCATATTTCGTTTCTAAAATATTTATATATGATAAATGACGGTTAGCGCGCTGAACGACGAGCATAGTTAATGAATTTTTACGAGCAGAGTACGGTAAAAAAAAGAGAAAAGAAAAAAGAAAAGTATGCGGAAAGAGAGTTTTACAGAAATAATAAATAAATGTCTAGTTTAATAGTTTGTTCGACAGAGAGAAACGAAAGTATCAAAGTACTGTTTAATTTTAAGGCACAAATAATAGTAATTCATAGGCCTTATATATACTAGTAAGGAAATATTCATTTTAATCAGCCAATTAAAGTAAGCCATCTGGCATATAGATTTTCTCGTAAGACAGAAGTTTCTTAGTAACGATAAAGTCGCTTTAATTTCAAACTGAGATAGGAGACTGAGGACAAAGAGAAATAGATCTAGGAGGAAGAGGAGGTGAGGGGGGGAGGGAGAGAGAAAAGCGGGGGGGGGGGGTACACCGCGGCCTCGAACAAGTCTCTTTGGTGCACGTGGGAGTGTACCCCCTTAGATGAAGTACGAAACGTATTTTAAAAACTCGGCATCGGCGATTCCTATATATTTTATTCATTGTAGTTGAGTGCGAAGGTGGGACCCATTTCCCTGTCACCAGAAATACATACTAATAATCCATACTCTCGGCAATTCCTCTTATGGCGTCAGCCTACGATGATGATTCAGAGGTAGCAGCAGCGCGGTTCACGCTCGAGAGCGTCGATAGGGATCGTCGAGAGCTCTGTCTGTCCGAGAGAAGTGATGGAATGAATGAGTGAGCGAATGAGCTAGAGAGAGAGAGAGAGAGAGAGAGAGGAGACATGCACACACGCACGCACACATATATATATATATATATATATATATATATATATATATTATAAGATATCACCTGGCGGTCTCGGCGCGTTCCCCTGCTGCTGCTCCTTCCGGAAAAGTCAAGCCGACCAGAAAGCGTGCGCGTGTGATCCATTATATCTTAGCCATATACCTGTCAACCAACCCAATAATCGACCAAGAACTACTACGTTTTAGTATACTCTGGCCGAATGGGCTGTATTAGTATTACGAGAGAAGCTGACCCTTGCAATAGATCCCTTCAATTTTTCATGAAGCAAACTTATCGACTTGTCAATTTCAATTTGAACAACGCTACAACCTATTCTTGGGCTAAACTAAACTTGCGAGAAGCGCGTAAGATGTGATTGGAAAGGAGAGGCGTATAAAGCCGAGCTATAAAAATACTGACTTTAATTAAAATGCTTAGGGGTTAGAAAGCGTGATGTACGAGCGCCCAGAGAACTCTATTAATTATCGGATGACACAAAATCCATTAGCCGCTGCCTATCGCCCTTCCTCCCTCAATCGCCCTAACTTTCTCTCGTGCTATTTCTCTCGTACTCGCAGACACGCGCCCACGAGCAAGCTACTTATCGTGCATTCGTAACGTGCTCGCCTGTTGTTTTGACGGACTCTCTGTCTCTTATGTTGCAGCCTGAAGCCACCACAGAAGGACGGCGTGACCAAGTCAAACCCGAGCAAGCGGCATCGGGAGCGGCTGAACGCAGAACTCGACACCCTGGCCTCACTGCTACCCTTCGAGCAGAACATCCTGAGTAAGCTCGACCGGCTCAGCATCCTCAGGCTCAGCGTCAGTTACCTCCGTACCAAGAGCTACTTCCAAGGTAAGCGCGAGTCACACGGTTTCCCCCCTTTTTACCACTATTCCCCCATTCCCGGCAAATGTCGCGTGAGACCGAGGAGTCCCACGCAAGCTCAGGCTCGTTACGCGCAGCCTCTTCGGGAACTCGCTCTCGGATTTTCCAGAGGAAAGCGAGCAACGACTTCCCCGAAGTGAACTCGGACATCCGTGAGTACGTGTTCGTCCCCCCTCTGAGGGTCCAGAGTCACGCCCGTGGATGCGGTCCCGGCTGCTGTGTCCGCGACTATCGTGCATCTCGCGTCGTATATCACGGCCCGAAGCACCTTCGCATCACCACCACCACCACCACCGCAGCCGCCTTCGTCACCACCACCACAACTATCGCCATCACCCCCCCCCCTCCATCTCACACACTCTTATTTCTTACCCACTGGTCCAACGCCATCGACGCCGCCGCATCCTCTCGACACGTGAGCGCACGGTGGCAACGGTCCCGAGGCAGCGACAGCGTTCGACCGCATTGTTCACACCGCTTTAATAGGTATTCATTGTCGGGGCTCGAGATCTCTTGGCTCCCTCCTCACGAGCAATCCCGAGGCTTTCACCTCCGCGACCGTTATTGGGAAAGGGCTCGCTCTCTTACGCCAGCAATTAATTAGAGCCGCGGCGATGCGCGCTGATTTTCCCCGGGGGAAGCGATAGCCGATCTCGAGTTCGAGGTGCACCGGGGACCCGGAGGCAATTAACCGCGACTGGGGCCTCGCTCCGAGACTTCTTTTTCCAAGCTTTTCTTTTCGCACCTTAGTTCAGGTGCGCGCCCACGCCAACTTCCTATTGACACTAGCGCGTCCCCACTGTTAGGTTACGAGTGATTTGTCGATATAATTCGCACCCTATTCCATTTCCCATCTGCAAACAGCTATCGATCATCGCACTCGGTTATCTATATCCTTGATACGTCAGCAGTACCGTCCACATATGAGACCGCTGTTCTTGAAACACACGCGTATCGTTTCCACAATCGTTGATAAATCGTAATCTAACAACCCACAGCTGTATATACTATTTCCTCCGCGTGTCCAAAATTTTTACCTGTAATGGATACCCCGACCATTCGTTCTTATATTTGTGCCCTTTTATGCTAGGCATACTTTATGAAAAGGAAAGTCAAATCTGCACAGTTGTAAACAAATTGGAGCACCTAGTGACGATCGTGTATGCCTCAAATATAACTCGGCAGTTAATAAATATTGTCACACGCACAGTGATTAAGTCAACATCTAACAATCATCGGGAGGTCTATTTACCCGAGGAGTAAGAGGCTTATTAACAGAATTATCAATATTCATTAAATAATTTATTAAACATTCAAGCATAATGCTCATTATTAACTCCTCATTACTTGTGGTAATGGTTAATTTGATATCGCATATCCCTATATCCGCATACACACAAGCATATTGCTATGAAATTCGCATATTTATATGAAATCTGCTTGAATCTGATATGAAATTGATATATATTGATATGAAATCTGCATTATCGAAAGCTCTTTCCTCTGTAAGTTTATATGTATATTATGCCAGGAGTTTGTAAAGGCCGAAAATATAGATTTAAATTTATAAGATGATTATTTTTTTTTTCAAAATTCTTTCTTCGGTAATTTCATAAGTCATTGATAAATGTAGTTTGACAGATTTTTTAATCGTTATGATAGTAATTGTCAGTGAACGATTATTTATATTGAAGTAGCAATATTTGTTTTCATAACATTAAACACTTTTCATAAATCCAAAAATATTGCACTTATTTCATTTACATCTATATGTCTTTATAAATGTATGTAAAATCAAAATCGTTCAAAAGCTTATTTACCAGTAAATATCAAATGATTCAATGTATTAATATATGTATATATATATATATATATATATATATATATATATATATACTATAATAATTAATTTGGTTAACATTATAAAAATATTTACTACCTGTAATTAAATACTTTTTTATCGGAAGTAATTGCTATAGTATAGCTTTTTGTAAGGAAATAAATTTCTGCGAAATAAATTACGGTTTTCCTGTTTTTTTTTTCTTACATAATTAAAACATGTAATACATATTCTATTAAGATACTCGCGATTGAATTTAATGAATTACATAATAGCAGTATAGTAAATATATAATAGTAAAAACTATAATGGAGAAAAACAATGGACTCTTGCGAATATCAATTTTAATTAGAAGTTCGATAGATGGAAAAATCTAGTACAAAGTGTGAAGGATTAAACATTAAATCGACATCCCTTACTTGACTATTTCGAATAAAGCAGATATAATAGTCAACTGTAACATACGAATGGATCATCAGTCAATATAAGAAGCAGCCGTTAAAACGTGCGAGCAATTTGTTTAGCTAAGTACAAAAAGTGTGGAAAGGATTGCGAGTATGTAATTGGGCGCGGATAAATTGGCGATTTCTATTCCGGAGAGCACATCGCTGTAATTTTTCGCCTCGAAGGCGACGCGTCGTAGTCTTTCAGCTGCTACTCTACAGCTGATTGAAATGCCGGGCGTGCCGTTACAGCGAACGCCGCGCATAATTGGGCTGCTTATTATTAAATTCCCTTCTTGTGGACACACGTTATAGGATCTCGGCACCTCGCCAAAGCTTTAAAAGCACGCAAGCTTGTTCGCGCCTGTCTCGCTATTACCCATACGCCGCGCCCTCCTAAAGTTTTCTCACTTTTTGTTGATTTTCGGGACAATCTGTCATAGTTCAGTTTATTTGTCCTTACATATTGATTGAAGTACCGAATCGAAAATTTTACTTGCTTGGCGGGATTTATGTAAATATTCTATATTCAATGCTTTATTAGGGCCTTCAAACTTTCTTCATTTCAATAACGTGCTTACAACTTATAACTTATAATTTCAAGGTACATAATGTTAGCTCTGACAATATATACTTGTATATGCTTTTTCAGAATCAATTTTATGTATCTTTAGGTGATCCGATAGCGACGTTCCGTATTAAAAAGTCCTTTTCAAATCGCCCCCCCCCCCACTTCTATTATATAAATTTTGTTTTATTTACTTAACTATTACATTTAACTAACAAATAAATTCATACATAATTTTGTTTTAATTTTTTTATAAAATTTCAATTTCAAATTGCCATATGACGTATAAATATTCATAACTTTTATATTCTAAATAAGAGTTAAGATAAAATTTGTTATTATTAATTTTAAAGTAGTCTTGAATTTTATCAGCATGCCTTTTCAAACATATATGTTTTAATACTTTTTATATAATCTAAAAAGAACTATAAAAATAATTTAACAGTCGTTCAAATAGTTGCAAAACTATGCATTGAAATATTAAATTAAGGAGCGATGAGTCACCTTGTTTAATTAAATTTGAAAGCTATTCCCTTTGGAGGATAATTATATTGTTGGACTCGTTATGGAGCAAACTAATTCAGTTAACTGTCTGAATGGGATGATTATTAATTCCCTTTTGAGCGTTTTATGTATTTTGGTATAGTAATTGTTCAAAAGCAGTTTAGAAAAACGTGGGAAATAAAATGTTTCGCCGGAAAATTTGGTGACGTGGTGAACGAATGATATTCTTCGACCACTTACACGCCAGTTTCTTTTCTCATCATTAATTTCATAAATCTAAAGGTTAGCATTTCACCAGTGCGTAGAATCAAGAATATATAAGCGTTCGTTAGAATTTTAGAGAATATAAAGGCTTTCACGGGTATAGGTCGTCAGTCAGATAGGCGCGGCTAAGATAAAGCGACTGCGTATCGTTTATAAAAGGCATTATAAATGTTTTACAGATAGTCGAGTTGGATAATGATGAAGCTGAAAAGAGATGGCAGTAAGCCCGCGCTGGGGATACACGCGGCAAGCCCTAAAAAGACACTCGGGCGCACATGCGTGAGCGAGGCAGCCACGGTAACGACAAGAATATGTACATATAACGCGCGCTAATAAAGAAGTTAAGAGCGGCTCGTACTAATCAGATTTCTTATGCATATAAATACGTATCTGCCACGTTATCGTAGTGATAATCAAAGCGTATCGGCAAGCGCCGCATAAGCAATGCGGCCCCCGCGTATCGACGCAATCACCTCCGCTGCTCCCCGGAACTTCCGCGCGCCCCGGCCTTTTTTTCCAATTTACCGTTCCACATACTTTATCGTCCACGACGTGCGAAGTATTACGCCGATTCCAAGTAATTGCGGCGCTTCGTGTACACCTAATGTTATTCCGATTAGCTTTTATCTGCCTCTTATGCTTATTAGTATTGACTATAATTTTGACGAGCTTTCAGCTCTCTTGGGAAAAAACGGCGGTGCGCGCGCTCGCGGATGAAGTATGTTATCTTGTAAAATTATGTACCTGACGAAAGGTGTGTTTCACTAACAATCGACGCTATCTTTTCCCCCTTCATTCTTTTCTTTTCTTTTATTTTAATTACACTAGCCACCTCCCTCCTTCCTTCATAATACTTCACTCGCGCCCGGGCCGTACTATTTTTATACCACGTTATACGATTTTTTTACTTTTTACGCAAATCATTAATTGAGATTAATATTTCAATTTTATTTTGGGCAAGATTGTCAGTCTTCCTTTTCACTGATTTGTTGTGTAAACACTGTAATATCAACTTCGTATAGTGCATTACGTTTGAGATAGTGGAAAATAGTTGCAGACGGGGAGAATTTAAATGAAGTCATTGTTCGACCATTTATACAAGAATGATAAAATTATTTCCGAGTGCTTCTCTTACATATCACGATCGACTGCTCCTTGATGGTTACTTAATTCCCATTACGAAAATATTAATCTGCTGAAAATCATAATACCTCTTATGTTGTTATATATACTATAATATATTATTATATGTCTTATGTATGGTTATATATACTTGACGGTGACTTTAGTATCTCCTAGTGACGTATTTAGTCATGTTAAAATGCTAATGCCACTAAAAATGCCAAGG